GGCGGACCGCCGAGCCAAGGCGCCTGGCCTTGAGCCAGAGGCAGCGTTCGAAACAACTGCCTCGGCGGCGGCGGCGCCCGGGTACCACCCGGAGCCTTGCTCACGTGCTCCTGCCCGGCGGCGGGGTTAAAGGGACAGGCCGGGGATCCCGGGCCGGCTCCCCTTGGGCCTCGCCCCTCTGGTTGCCGGAGGTCACCACCCTGGCGGTTGTCCTTGGGAAGGCGCGGGAACAGGACTCTCCCAGAGCCGCCTTTCGGGACTTGGCCTTTACCTGCGCCTCCTCAAAGCCAAACTTTTCCGGAAGCGTCTAGCTGCATGGGGCGGCAGTTTTCCAGTTCACACTGTGAGTGGGAAGGGACTGCTGAGCTGTAGGAGGTGGCCCTGACAGTCCTGCTCCGCCTGGGGATGCCCCCCACCGCAGAGCGCGCCGGGGAGCCCGCGCACGCATACGGAGAGCACCCACAAAGATACACACGCTCACACATGTAATCACACGCACACTTGAACGTAGACTCACGTGCACGCGAAAATACACATGTAAATACACCCGCACTTGAACACACACAGACACACAGACGTGCACTTTCGCATACACGTGCAAACAATGCACACCCGCGCGCTGAGCGCGCCAGCTTTCTCGTTTTAGCTTTTTTCTCTGGCAAAGAGTGGGGGCCACAAAACTCTCCCCCAGGCTGGCGCTAAGTACCCAGGTTCGGACGCCCCAAGGATAAAAAGGGGTCTCATAGAATCCCATCACCGCAGTCGCCCCAACTGCCTAACTCTTCCTTCAGTTTACCTTGACTTAACCTTCTCCCAAAGAATTCCCTTTCTGCCAAGTCCTAATTTTATAGCCTGGACTATTTCTGAGTTTTGTGAACATAGTAATAGCCACAGTCCGTTTTTAAAAGGTGGAGTACATTTTTTAAATGTACCTCTTTTTCATCTTCGAATAACACAAAACTGAAAAAAAAAATAGGTTCAGATTTTCACACATCACACCCAAAATTATTTTGGACCTATTCCAAAATAAAAACTTTCACCCGGGGAAGAATTTTTCTTTCAGAGGTACAGACCACCATGGAATAAAAAGTCTGCTTTGCTGCCCCAAGCAGGGCGTTAGGCACCGTCAGGTTCCACTGTGCATAGGGAGGAGGCGCGTGTAAATGTCCGCTTTGGCTCGACCTCTCTGATTGGTCCGCGTTGCCATTTTAAATCCATTTCCAGCTGTCCTTTGCAGAGTTGGGACACTTCACTGCAAGTTGAATGCTCTGCAGGAACCCAGGGTAACTCCGAGGTCTGGGAACGCTTAGTATGATGGAAAGTGAGAGCCCCATCCTTCCAGATAGAGCCCTGCAGCTGCCGGGGGAGGGAAGGGTCTAACAGGAAGCAAAGGTT